AGCTAATACCTCTGCCCATCAAAGGAAAGGAATTACAAACCACTGCAGGCTGATAAGATACAACAGCAGCAGAGGTTTATAAATGAAGACTTACTTAGCAAGAAGTAAAGTTTATGGTGAGGCAACAAGATGGGCGAAAAGCAACAGATATTTGGAGTATATATTTGCTAACAAGAAAGTCACCATTTCCATTATCAGAGATGAAAACTTGCTGGATAATAAGTGAAGGTTCACTGAAATCAGTAATAAATTAAACATTTCAGATTTAGTGTTGCACAGTCAGGCATGAATAACAACTTCTACGGCAAGGCTGAGATACAGTCAAGAGCCAAATCAAACAAATATTTAAAACTCCTTTAGTATTAATCTTGTCTATTACAATAACATCTAACAGCCAGTCAAGAGCAAAAGCAATGTGCTGAGCAAGATACAAAGTAGTAGAGACTGTGCCCTTGTGATTATCCATATTTCTAACTTTCACTATTACTTTATCTCTGTACAGAGGCTAACAATCTTTTCTTTCTTATCATTTTATCTTCAGTAGCTATTCACATGATGCAACATCACTACTGTAGTGTTTGCACATGTTCAGCTTAACGTAGGAATTTCTCGATTATGATCCTCGGCTACTACTACTCAGGACATAAGGTCATCATCTTGGTCCTTACTGGCTTAAAAATCTAGTTATCCACAGCCTTTGGTGTAAGGGCTACAAAAGATGTCCCCCTTTTTTAGATTTTTTTTTTTTTTCAGTCTGTCAAAAAAAAATCAGGCAGAATAATGCCCAGTCTTCTATGCCTGCTGGAACGCTTTGACAATCATGATATGGTTTAAGAAAGCTTTGGCCTATTATTCTTCAGTCATGAGTAGGCTTGGCTTTGGCAGTACAGTGATCCATTTGTAAAATTTTTACTACATCTGTCAGAACTGTGGCTGATCATGCTAAGCCAGTTGGTTTTTCAAACTTATCTGTGCTATAAAAAAAATATGTTAACGATGCTGAGATTGAAGGCTTTTTGGAAGATTTCTCCGTCCTCCTTTTTTTTTTTTGGCTGATGGTGAAAGCATGCAAAGAGGTACAGCAAATTTCAGATGTCTCCAGAAGAACAGCAATTCAAGTGCTCCTCAACAATGTAAAAAACTGTGACTTTTCTCCTCCTCCAGCCACAGTGAGACTGTGTCCGAAGCTATGCTGATGGAATATGTTTGTTTTTATGTTTTGTTTTTACATCAGATGGCATGCCCTATGTCTCTCTTTGTGGGTTCTTGTAACTGTTGTTTTCTTCAGTGACGCTGAGCTTTCTGTTCTGTGCTGTCATTTAATTCCTATTATTAGATTTGTTTTGTTGTGCATATCAGGAATGAAAAGGCTAGCGGTTACAATGAAAGCTTGTAATCAGCACAAAGTTTGCCAGGCAATGCCAAAACTCACTTTCTGTGTGTGTGTGTGTGTGTGTGTGTGTGTGTGTGTGTGTGTGTGTGTGTGTGTGTGTGTGTGTGTGTGTGTGTGTGTGTGTGTGTGTGTGTGTGTGTGTGTGTGTGTGTGTGTGTGTGTGTGTGTGTGTGTGTGTGTGTGTGTGTGTGTGTGTGTGTGTGTGTGTGTGTGTGTGTGTGTGTGTGTGTGTGTGTGTGTGTGTGTGTGTGTGTGTGTGTGTGTGTGTGTGTGTGTGTGTGTGTGTGTGTGTGTGTGTGTGTGTGTGTGTGTGTGTGTGTGTGTGTGTGTGTGTGTGTGTGTGTGTGTGTGTGTGTGTGTGTGTGTGTGTGTGTGTGTGTGTGTGTGTGTGTGTGTGTGTGTGTGTGTGTGTGTGTGTGTGTGTGTGTGTGTGTGTGTGTGTGTGTGTGTGTGTGTGTGTGTGTGTGTGTGTGTGTGTGTGTGTGTGTGTGTGTGTGTGTGTGTGTGTGTGTGTGTGTGTGTGTGTGTGTGTGTGTGTGTGTGTGTGTGTGTGTGTGTGTGTGTGTGTGAGAAAAAGAAATTACTTGGCAAAATGCTGCAGGCAAGTCATCAAGGAAAGGAGTAGTATGAGGGGGGGAATAGTAAAACAACAGTTCTGCATACTCCTCTTTGGCTCATTTAAGATTTTTCCAAGCCATGGTCTTCTTTTGATACTATGAAAACCCAGACATTTCTCTGAAAATAGAAGGGTATTATCATGTCATCTGAACTAAGAAAACTAGGCGATAAAACCTATATGTGAACAGTGGCTAATAAACTCTAACCTTCAGAGAAAGCTTCCAGGTAATTAATTAGCTCCAGTACTGCACTGTCATCCTACAGAGAGATTAAAACATCCAATGCTAGTGTGATCGAGTCCAAAAAGCACTAAGTACCTGTAAAGTCGGTTTTCATTATGATAAAAGACTAAGAATTCACAATGTTGATTTCTAATCATGTAAACTTGTAACATTATGAACTGCCATTATACAAATCCATTTTACTATGAATTTCCTATAACAAGGCTCACTAATATGAATAGCTGTTTGTGGTTTTTAAAAAAATTAAAAATTAGTTCAGAAGGACAGGAATACTTTGTGACAAACAATGGCTACTCAGATTTGCAGGATCAGGGCCATACGCATGGTAATAGTGTTAGCATGTTTCTTACCCTGTTTTCCTCTTTCATGAATGGGGAGGGGGGCGATGACACACAGTACAATTCAGCAGGGAAACCTAATAATTATCTTACACGATAACCTCTCCCAGCAGCAGATGATGTACTCACTTTGGCAGCACTAATGACTGTGGCAGTGTAAGACTGAATGTTGTCTCCACAGGCTCCACCACGGGATTGATGGCATCGGATCAGCTACAAGAAGAAAAGACAGCAAGCAAGTAACTACTATTAAACTACACAAACCCATAACCCATTACCATAGCTCTTATTTATCATGTATAGTGGTGTGTTTTTTCCTACAAATAGCAAAAAGCCCTGCTGAGACACTTAACCCCTTTTTATAATCTTCTGGGTGCCACCCAGACTGTCGCGTACTCAACTCCAGTTTTCAATTACAAGATGAGTAGTCACTAAGAATTCATAAACTTTGAAATGGTGGGATTTTTGGTCTGGCAGCAATACCACAAATAAATTTAAATAAATATAATCAAAAGCTTTAGCCATGTATATGTAACATTAAATATCAGACATTCTAAGAATCTGAGTGTGGCTTTCCCCTCCTTTTTGACTAGCAAGCAAAGAAATGACAAAGGAAAAGAGCTACTTTAAACTTTACATTTAATAGATTAAAGGAATGTACATAGGCTTTACTCTATATTGCCTTCCTTCAAAATTAATAAATCAAAACAAGACTCTGCTACCTGCCATCAACCTACAAAAGCAGGTTTTGCCTTTGAACCCAAACTAACAGTAGAATCTGTGCTTTGTACTAAATAAAATGGCAAAAAGCTATAGAGCTTTGTTGCTTGTACACAGAACATGTTGCCTGCTTAACTGTTTTAGCTAAAAGAAAATTAAAAATCACTGTAAGTTGTATTTGTTTCTACAGGCTTTCCTTTCCTGCTTATATTTAAGTATCTAAATAAAAATAGTTAAACTAGGGGGGAAAGGGGAAGTCCACAGTGAATGTACCTGGGAACACGCAAGCCATTTAAATTCCTTTTGTGATGCAATTCTTTTGCTGATCAGAGGTTTATATTTTTGGCAGCAATACTTTATTAAATCCTGGGCTGACTGGTTAAGTTTTACAAAATGACATAGGCGTGGCATTAACGGAAAGGCAGGCCTGAATTTGGAGAGGAGTCATTTGTGCTTGAAGAGGTTTAACAACAAATACATTTGAAAACTCTGCCTCTCTGATAATTTCTGGTTCAGCTCCAGAAACAGCTATTCCACTTACAGGTGGAAGGGAGAAAAAACATCTGCTTTGACATAAAAATCAGGTATTAGAAGCTGAATTTAAAGTTTTCAGACACTTCAAGCTTCAAATACACAATCACTTCTCTGGCCTCTTACAGATCATCTTTTTCACATAGCTTTGTGCTGAGACTTTTTATTTTCTCTCCCCCCCCACCCCCCCCATATATACAAAAGCTAGAATGAAATCTAGAACCAAAGAGAAGTATTTTTTGAAATTAAACCTTTCCTTACCTTATTTTCTGCATAAGCAAGCCAACGGCTTCCAAGTGCAATAGGATTCATGTTTGGCCCTGGACAAGGATAGCAGCCTGCAAAGTTTTAAAAGGCAACATTAAGAAATCTCCTAATGACTTCTTACAAAGAATTTTATTTATTGCCAAGAAAACAAAAAGTCTAAACAAAAACCTTTCAATTGCTAATATCACTCAGTAAATGCTTGCATTTTTGTTCCTAAAGATAAGGCTGTGGTTAGATGAGCTATTTTGAACAGTTAATTATGTGTAAATACTCATTTCTCCTTACGTTTGCATTTTTATAACGGCATTTTGATGCAGTGGGGTGAGGAGAATATTTAAGTTTGGCTGGATTGGTTCTAGATCTTCACATTTTAATTAATTTTACTTGATTGACATCTTTCTATTGGTGAACAGTTTCAGTTTGCTTCAAGCTCTTCTAGATTTTTGTGGTACGAAAGGGTGTATTGTGCTTTTGTCTTTGTTTTTAATAATTCTACATACAAGCCCTTAGCCTCTCAAAATACTTTTGCACACACTTAACACAGTGAGTGAATTAGTAATTCCTTTAAAATCAGTAGCAAAGTTTTCATTGTTCACCTGCTTTTCATTACCTTTATATTACCATTAAACATAGATATATAAACATACATAAAGACAGGTAATAAACAAATAGAGAATTATTCCTGAGGATTAAAAGGTGAAAATACCTATAATAGAAAGCCACTGAAAATAGCTGTGAATAAAAATATGGCAAGGCTTAAAATTAATCAGGCCCATGTTAAATGCAATTAAATAAAGTCTGAGTTAAAAAAAAAAAAAACCAAAAAACAACAACCAAGAATATCACACTATTGACTATTAAAATTAAAAAAATATATTTTTTTTAATTACTGAAAACAAATAGATAATGCTTGAACATAAATGAAAAGCTTAAGTAATCTACAATTAAAAGTAGCATGGTGACCCTTATCCTAATTGCTATTACTGTCCTATTTCCATGTCCTGTTTCCCCTCCTTTGTTTTTCATCATTTCAGATTAAGTCCTTTCAGGTGGACGGCTGCTCCTTCTACATCACCACATAACCCCTGCCTGTACTTGGTGCTCCAGTCCTACTGATGGATCTTAACTTTGGTATTCTGGCCCTGACAGGGTACACGTCCGTGCTGCGTGGTGGGATCCTTTGTCAAGGTACAAGTCTGAAAATTCAGTTATTGAAGTTACATGGATGAAGCCACAGAAGCGTTTCCTGATTAGGGCCCCGATACCAAGATTTGAGCTTGAGTGTTCCAACTTAAACTAGCAAACTACGGCCTTCAGCCACCAGCAGACCACCATTCACTGGACCTAAATCCGTTCCAGTACACTAAAACATGGATATAAAAAAAGAAATATTGCATAAGGGGGAAGAGAATGGGGGGAAGGAGGGGGACCATCAAGCGAATGGTTAATCTCCATTTTCATCAGTTCTCAGGCTAATATAGACAATTTAGTAATTCATATTCTCTCACTGGTTGGCCAAGAAACAAAACACTTAAAAACTTAAGAGACATGTGTGTCTTATTTAAAGGAGTCCCCTGGTTAGCTGATCCTGTATCACAGGCAGAAGGAGCACTGAGATCAGGCAAAGAACATTTTAGAACAAATATAACCAACAACTGCAATTTATTGCATAAAATCCTACAGTGCATTCTGAGAAGCACAATATATATCTATATTTAAAAAAAAAAGTCACAGCTGGCTAAGCTTCTATTTCCCCAAAGTCTCTTGTGTCAGACTCTTGATACTGATCTGCCAGCCACAGTGAGAAAAAGCAAACCTATTCCACTGCCTTCTTTTTGCAAGTATCAGGGTCTTTTCCAACAGCCCCCAAATAGTCTTAGTGAGGAGAACACTTAGTGAGGAGAACAGACTTTTAAAAGCTTCACGGCATTATTTTCAACGCTTGCAAAATGGGGAGAAGGTGTGTGGGAGGATGATAACTATAGTGCGTGGGTTTGAGTTTAAACTGACATTTGACAACAATTAAAGACACGTTTGATGGTATTTTGTTGGGCACGTGCAGAAACAGCTGCTATACTGTTCATGCAAAGATAAACAGCTCTATTTCATTTTTCAGAGCAGAGCAGTGAGGGTATTGCAAAATTCGAAAGATCACAGCGAGCTATTTCAAAGGTCATAAAGCAATGGAAGGAGAAAAGCAGCAATTCATCCAATTAAATCCATCTCAGGCCAGGAAAGCAAAACCAAGTGAATATTTTGTAAGGCCTTATCACAGCCTTGATCTCAGGAAGGAAAACGAATTCTGAAGAGATGATGCCACAATTGTTATTGCATTCCAGAAGTGCATAAAGTGTGGGTAGCCAGAGCCTCTTAAGGAACAAAGCAAGCAAAAAAAGGTTGTAAATACAACCCTAGGTTGTAAATAAGAATGTGTTCTTCCAATGACATTATAGACCACAGCCACTAAGGTTTTAATGCTGACTTCTTCAGCAATTTTCATCTGGGTCAGAAAATACATTCAGGTCCCCCAAACTTTAGTTATTTTTCTTCCCTTTTATGTATAAAATAGAGCATTAAAAGGTGTCAGATGATAGTCCTCCTCATTGAAATCGCTACAGTGACTTTAGAATCAGTCACTTGCATTTCCCAAACTCCACAAGCACCTTACAGCAGAAAACCAAAGGAGCATCAGCCAAGAGATGAACTGTAACGACAAAACCCAAGCAATTTAACAACTGAGAACAAAAAGAAACATCTTGCTTGGAAAAGGGAGCTGTTCTCAATTATTTCAGTGAACTGAAGTAAATGAAGAACTGCAAAAAGCATTATTCTTGAAATCAAAAATTAATGAACTAGAAAGAGTAAAGTTATCTTGGAAAAACTGCAGCTGTCTTCACCAAACCCACCGTAGGTATTTTGTTCCATGAACTGGACTCAGTCAATCAGACACAGCTCCACACACAAATCAGCCAACGCTAATAATAACCTCCTCAGAGGTCAACAATTCAGCTCCGTACTAAACTCTACTCTCCGATACGAAAAACAGTGTAAAAAAAGAGCTATTTCCTCCCTTTCTTTTCTTTGCAAGTCTCTGCATTTTGGAAACTTGAAGCAGGACAAGGATAAACAAAGGGTTATACTTTATGGGAAGGAAAAGCAAATTGTTTTTCTGCTTTCCAAAAAAACAACTGGAGTCAGCAGAACATCATCTACTAGGCAAATGAAAAGAGAGACACAGCGTGACCTATCAAGCCCAGCCATCCAATCATTACCAGCCTAACTCTCTTAAAAATTAACTTCTATTTCTACTAAACTTCAAAACAACTGAGGAAAAATCCATTCTAAGCAACAACAGCAGCAACTTTAGCATGTTTCTAATAGGAGTGAACATAATGAGAATGCAGAACTAACTGTCAAGACGACCAAAGTTTCCAAGTTTTAATGACAGCATAGAGGGGTCATCCAAGAAAAGATCACTTGGGGAAAGTCCTTCCAAAAGTACAGCAAATCAAGCAAGTACTAAAAAACAGCTGATCCTAGAATAACCTTTACCAGGACTATCACCCACAAAAAATATAGGTGAAAACCTACAGGAAACTATTTGAAATGTTTTAAAGTACAGTTTCTTTCTCTTGTGCTTTATCACAACACACAGAGGATGTGCACTACTAGAGCTGTGAAAAGGTAAAAGCAGAAAAAGACTATTTTGGAAGTCTGAATTGAAGGGCAGGTATTTCTGCTAACTCGGTTAAGTTCCTATGCTCAAGAACTCTAACCGGTGCTGACCAAAGCAACGCTCACGAGTAAAAAACAGGCTCCAGGCTCCCTCTGAACAGGGACTGGCTCATATTCTGCACCTTGGTAGTCCCATTTCCAAGATGCAAGTTCCTCCAACATCAAAATGGTACCACAGGTAAATTCTTTAGCATTACAGTTTCTTAGTTTCTTAATGACTTTTTTTTTAAATAACTGAGTTTTAAAATTATAATCTGAAATAAGCATCTAGTTTGTGATTATTTGGATTCAAAGATGGTTTTAGCTTTCTTGCTGTTGTGCTGACTTTTTATCTTCGGTTTTACTGACAGGAATCCCAGAAGTTAAAGTTCTCCAAAGAGCTATACAAATGTTTGATTAATGAGTGAACAAAAAGAAGGCATGTTTATTTTACAACACTTTTCAATTAATTTTTATGAAAATCTCTACCACCCTTTGGAGATTCATGTCCATATACCCATAACAAGGAAAATTCACCTCCTCTACTCATTCTGAAACCACACAATTATCTACTTGTCTGACTCTGCACCTTTCCATTGGTCTATGCTCCTACAGAAAACTAAGACTCCAGTCCTTTTCTTCAATTGCTTTTAAAAAGCTCATCCTCTAGCTTCAGCAATGGCAGTGTGAACACACAGACAGCAGCCAAGATGAGAAAAGCAACATTCCTCCCACTTAGCTTTTAAACAAACAGCATATTGGGAAAACACTGTTAAGAGGAACACAGCCATTCAAAGTCATGTCAGTGGTAACAGAGATTAAGCCAATAAATCACAAAACATGCCACTATGAAAACTTGAACCATTTGTACTGGGGCAGCTCTTCATTAAGCTCCACAGCTTTTTCATCACAGAAAAGCTTAAAAAAATTAAATATATATATATATATATACACACACACACACACACACACACACATATATATATGTACACTCAAGCGTCACCAAGGGGTTGGGGGTAAACACTGCAGGGATTCCTAATATTCACAAAAACTTGGCAGTTTGGTACTTCACATCCAAGCACACAATCTTCGGAATCCCAACTGCAATCAAAAGGCATCTAAGCTTTCAAGAACTCAGCTCTTCAGGAGGACCAGAGCTGTGCATCTTTGTTACCCATGATACTGCTACAAGTCCAATCGGTATCTTCAGATGTGTTCTACGTATGTGTCCTTCTCTTTCAGGAAGTATGGATGGTGTATGTGCTCTGAGAGACAACACTAATACGCATTCCTCGCAGATACAAGGTGTTGTCCAGTTCTATTTCAGGCTGCTTCTGTGTGTGTTTATGCAGTAACT